CCCCCCCCCCCCCCCCCCCCCCCCCAGTCCCCAAAGTACACAGTTTTACAGTTGTTAAACAACACAACTTGTTCTTTTTTGATCTTCCACATGGTTCATACATCAGGTGGTGAAGACAATGGAAGAGTTCCTGGAAGACTACAACCAGATCAACACGGCCCAGATGAAGCTGGTGCTCTTCATGGACGCTGTGACACACGTGAGCCGCATCGCTCGGATCATCCGACAGCCTCTGGGCAACGCCTTGCTCTTGGGCATGGGAGGAAGTGGACGGCAGAGCTTGACCAGGCTGGCTGCTCACATGTAGGTTTGGTCAGAGGGTTGGTTTGTGGGAGTGAGGCTGCGTGTGTGTGTGTGTGTGTGTGTGTGTGTGTGTGTGTGTGTGTGTGTGTGTATGTGTGTGTGTGTGTATGTGTGTGTGTGTGTGTGTGTGTGAATTTTTAAAGGATTTTTTTTCAAAGATAAAGTATTTCTTTTAATTTTTGAAAACTCTCTGAAGTTTAGTTCCCTATTCTTTTTAGTTCATATTTCCAGTGTGCTTAGAATGCTTTCCTTTTTATGCTGACACTCAGGACAGTTTATGAGAACTGAGTTAATCTTTGCATGTGTGCCTGAGTATATATATATATATATCTTTAGGTGTGCTTGTAAGTACGTCTGAGGTTTGGAGGGAATAAATTATGATAACGAAAAACCTGAAAAGCAAAAGGAGCAGACGACACAAAAACTCTCCGACCACTCATTTGTCACCAAGAAGACAATTTTTGGGGGTTTTTTTTTAGGGTGGAGGGAGGTGTAGGGAAGGGGAGATTAACCCACTGGGCCCTATCATTCGCGAACCTACAGGACCTGTGCACCTTAACAACTCCTTTGGGTTAACTGCTAGATGGTATCAGTTGTCTAGTGGTTAGGTTACTGGATTTGCCTGGGATTCGAGGCTTAGTTCAGCCCCATGTTGTGTCCTTGAGGAAGCCACTGAACACAAATTTTCCTCACTCCGCGCAAGTGTGAAATGGATACTCGGCAAGAGACAGTGAAACATTATGTCAATATGTTACTGCTTTAATGTTAATGGAAGCTTCACTGTTTGTGTCCCAGAAATCCAAGAATGTTTCTGAGAATTCTAGAGTCTGCTTTTGAGTATGGATATGAGCTCAATAAATATAATGATTATTATGATTATGATTAGGATGATGATCATTGTCAGCATCATCATCATTATTATTTATTATTATTATTATTATTATTATTATTATTATTATTATTATTATTATTATTATTATTATTATTATTATTATTATTATCTTTATTATTATTATTATGGTGTTCAGTGCACAAAAGGGTATAGACAGTCTCAGTCAGCTATGCACTTGGCTTCATTGAGTTTATTGTATAGAAAATGCTCTGAGCACATAACCAATTATGGCTGAGGAAAGTCTTTATTTGAAAAGGAGATAGAATTAGTATTATTAATGAACTTTGAAATGACATACCTTTTTGCCTATTGTATCTCTGTAGGTCTGAGTTTGACTGCTTCCAAATTGAGCTTGCTAAGAACTACGGTATGTCTGAGTGGAGAGAGGATCTCAGGCAGGTCATGATGAAGGCTGGTCTGGAGAATAAACCCATGGTCTTCTTGTTCAGCGACACACAGGTGAGACCTTGCTTGCTTGCTAGGCTGGGATTTTCACTTTATATCACTCAAACTGATGAGATGAACTAGAGAGTTCATTTGGTCGCTTTTAAGCACAAGGGGGCTATCCTGAAAAATGCTGTTTTGAGAAAATCAAAGGTAAAGTTTTTGCCCCTTATTCAGTTTCTTAAAAAAGCAAGGAGAGTTTTCTCTCTAACCAAACAAATATACACACCAACGAAACCAAACTTCTCCTACAGGTAGGGCAATGCCCACTTTTGGTGTAGGTCAAGGTTTCTGGAAACCCCCGAAATCTGGGTTAGCCTGCTTGTCCTTAAAAGTGACCATTTGATGACAATATATTTTAACAGAAGGAAAGTTTTTTGAAAGGAGAAATAAAGTGCTATGAGGCCATTGTCACTTTCTATATACTATATGCAATTATTATCATTATTAT